TGGTATAAACACGCCACTGACTCAGAGTGCTCGATTCATAGAAGAGCATTGCATTATCAGCAGTAGCAGTTACTGTTTACAAATTATATATATATATATATATATATATATATATATATATATATATATATTAATAGATATACATATTATTCCTCACGAGTAGCCCAACTCGGTGTTTCATGAAAATTAACGATTGCGTTGTGCATAAAGCTCCGTCCGAGTCCTGCTACCGGTGGGGAATAACATGTAAATTTATAAATATATACTTAATAGCTCTGTTCTGTTACATCGAGCACTATTTTATTAACCAAATTGCGTAACTTTCGGCTAAAATATATAAAATCTTTCTCCCAAAATAGTTTTCTTTTTCATGAAAATAGGCTTTCTAAGTGCATTGTTATAGCACTGAAAGGTGTTTCCTTCCTAAACTTTTATTTGAAGGGAACGTGGAAAATCAAACATCTTAATTATATCATTATTTTCCAAGCTCTCCATTTTATTTGTTGCCGGTGCTGAAAGTTTTCAACCAATGTGTTTTTTGTTATTTTATATAGTTCTTGATTTGTGATTCTGTAGCCGCAGTATATAATATCTGATATCGTTCGCTTCTAGCCATTTTTAATTGTTGATCCGAGAAAAATGTTATATATATTTGATAGTTTGGACATTTTTGAACGATATGAACGCTTTGCATGACAGCTGTATGTGAGGAAATATCTGATGAGCTTATTTAAAACATGACTAGAATTCTCAGGATAATATTTAGATTTGCCATGTCTTTACGGTGTTAGAGATAAACTGCTTCTTGTACAAACCTGAGTTCAATTTCTTTGTCTTTAAAAACATGACTTGAATTCTCAGGATAATATTTAGATTTGCAATGTCTTTACGATGTTGGAGAAAAACTGTTCCTCGTACAACCTGAGTTCAATTTCTTTATCGCCGATACCAAATGTTCTAAAACTGATACAAGGTATGACGCTGAATGACAGTAAACGAAAGTAGTGGACAATGTTTTAACTATCCCCACAGAGCTGAGGGCATCAACCGAATTTTCATAGTGATTCTCGGTTATATTGAAATTGTTACGGATTCGCTAACTGGGTGCCCTGTGATTGGATGAAAAACAACCAATCACAGGCTACCTTTTTAGATTTTCACCAAACCCCCACGAGAGCGGTTTTTACAAGCTCTCTTCCTCTTTTGCTTGTTGGGAACCTCAGAGACAACACGTTCCCCGTCTGCCCTCTCCGTCATCTAAACACCAGGACACGTGTGGGGATTTAGACTGCAACTGAAGCACAGAAGTCAAGACTATTTTCTTCAACCCAGCCAAAACGACACAGGAAATATAAAACTGTTAAAAGGACGCATCTTTCAGATAAGTTCCGCAATCCCGACTGTTTCCAATGAAACTTTCCTCTCTTTTCCTACAATACAAGTTTTTCAAACATTTTCGTCTGTGTTTGTGTTCCTTTCTTCTTGCTGGCGTCACAATATTTTTGTTACAAAATATAATTGGGAAAATCCTGATAGTTAATGCCTCACTATTCGAAAAGGTTTCTTGTGGGCACCTTTGTAAGTATGACTATAGTATGATTCATCAAAAACAAAACAATAACCCTTAATAGACAATAAAAGCACAAATAAATACAGTGTACGATTACGTTATTTGTCTTCCAAAGATCTACTGCTAACAACCGCTAGATGGCGTTGCCAGAAGCAGTTTATAGAAAAAGGCGCAAATGTCTTACCGTCTTTTTTTGTCTAGCCAACGGTTGCTTATATATAGGACGTGTCTTGTTTGACCTCTCGGGTATCCCTTGGTATTCAGCGAACCATATTTAGCATTGAACACATAGTATACAGAATAAAAATGCCCTTTCTTTCGTTTTTACATACCATGTCATTTCAGGACGTAGGTGATCACGGCTCTCCACCGCCCTCTATCCCTTGCAGCTCTCAACAAGTTCCCTCCCTCTGTTTCCTCCTCCAGACAACGTTCTGTCATTCACTTGCTTAAGTCCGCCAGGGGTGTCACGCATTGTTTTCCCTTGTCTCTATTTCCCTCTATTCAACCCGTGAGTATCAGATTCTCCAGGGCCTCCTTCCTCATTATGTCTCTCAAAAACTTTAGCTGCCTCTTCCTGATATCAAGTATAAGCCTCCTCCTTGTTTACAACCTCACTAAGACCACATCATTGCTCACACGCTCGTTCTATGATATCCTTAGCATCTTACTGTAGAACCACATCTCTGTCGTCTCGAGTCCCTTCTTCATCTTTGAGGAAATCGTCCAACATTCGCTGCCGTAAAGAAGGACAAATATCACGTAACAGTTCAGTATTCTTTTCTTTGTTACCAAAGAAATCCTCCTGTCTTGCAATACTCTGTCCTGCTTTTGGAATGTGTCCTTGGCCATCCCAATACGTCTACGGATCTCAGTGTCGCACTTACCGTCCTCTGTCAACATGCATCCCAGATATTTAAACTTTCGCGTTTGATTCATTCTAGTGTTTTCGACCTTCAAATCGCATTTCGATTTCATCCTCTTACTGATGACTATACACTCTGTCTTGTAGTTTATACTTAGTCCTTTCTTCTCACTTTCCGTCGCTACCTTCTGTAGAATATTTTGTAATTTCTTTTCCGTATCTACTATCAGTACTGTGTAATCTGCGTATCTTATGTTAAGATTGTGGCCGCCAATGCTAAATCCCGGTAGGGTTTGCAATTCTCTCAGAATTGCTTCACTGTATAGGTTGAATAGATCAGGTGAGAAGACGCATCCTTGCCTTACACCCCTTTCTATTTTTGTATATTCACTGAACTCGTTCCTTATGCACATGCATGCTGTTTGCTGCCAATATAGGTCCTTGATTATTTTGATATCTTTCCCGAGTATATAAAGGTTGCTGAGCAGTTCCATCAGATCCTTGTGGCTTACTTTGTCGAAGGCCTTTGCGTTTTTCTATGAAACATAGGCACACGTCCTTCTGCATCTGGATCGCTCTTTCTGGTAACATTCTGAACATAAATATCGCGTTCCTTGTTCCAGTGTCTTTAACGAACCCGCACTGTTCTTGCCCTCTCTCTGGGCTGATTCTGCTGCGCGCTCTGTTCATTCGAATACGGATGATGAGTTTTATCACGTAGCTCATTAGGCTTATTGTTTGCGTCTGTTTTCTTAGGCATAGCTATGAAGATAGATCTGCTGAAGTCTTCCGGTATATCCCCGCTGTTGTAGATTTCATTTGTTATTTCGGTGATCTTGTCTATGCCAAAGTCATCTAAGGCTGTCAGCATTTCCGTTACAATTCCGTCTGGCCCAGCTGCCTTGTTTCTGTTCAATTTGGCCAATTCGGCTTTTAATTCGGTTTTCAGAATTCCAGGTCCGTCGATAGTTCTGTGTATTGCTGGTTGTTCCCTTACGTCGTGGAAGAGTTCTCCAATATACTCGCTCCAGAGTTGAATTTTTTTTCCTTCTCTAATATAAGCGTTCCATCCTTTGATTTTAGGCAGCCTGTTGACGAGCATGTCTTCTGTCCTGTTAGTTGTCTTATTTGTTTGTGCGTGTCTCAATCTTTCTATTTCTGCACATTTTTCGTTTAGCCATTCTTCTTTGGCTTGCCTGCATTTGCTCCTTATTTCATTGTGTAATTTTCCGTATTCCGTACCGTATCTTGACCGAATTTTCTGTCTTCTTTCCATCATGTCGAGAAAATCATCAGTCATTCATTCTTTCCTCCTCCGTCCTGTCTCCTTTGGGATAATATCGTTTGCTGATGTCACAAAAGCTTCTCATAGAGTGTCTCATTTCAAGTTTCCATTGCGTGCCTTGTATCTTCTTTCCACATTGTCTATGTATTTTTCTTTTAGGTTAGGATCGCTCAGGAGTTTGTTGTATTGCAGTTTGGGTGCTGCGTTAGGCTTCTTCAGTTTCCGCAGTTTCCCTCTTAGTTTACATATAAGAGAGCGATGATCGCTTCCGCAGTCGGCAACTGGGTAGGTTTTGCAATGAATCATTCCATTCCTGAATCTTTTGTTGATGGTTATATAATCAATTTGGTTTTTTAGCTTTTTCCTCCATGTCCATAGTCGTCTCGAGTGTTCCTGGAACCATGTGTTGGCTATAACCTGGTCATTGGCTGTGCACCATTGGATTCATTTTTCTCCGCGTTCGTTGTAGGTTATTAATCCGAATCTTCCTTCTATATATACTACACTTTCCCTGCCTACTTTGACGTTTAAGTCTACCTTGATAATGATGACTTCCTGTTATTTGCATAGAGCCCTGGCACTGTCCAGCGTGGAGTAGAACGATTTCCCTTGCTTTGTGTCGTCAGTGAGTACACTACTATAATAGCTACGTTGAAAGGCTCCCCTTTCAGCTTCACTAGCAGAATTCTTTCGGCAAATTTGTGTTATCCTAGAACGCATTTCATAAGTTCGTTATCTAGTATTAGTCCTACTCCTTTGTCGTTCGTCTCACCGCCTGCATAAATTATTGTGTTTTTCGCTGACAAAGTCACCGTTGTTTGGCCATCTGGTTTCACAAACACCTAGAATGTTGACGTTAAGCCTGTACATCTCTTGTTTAATATTATCAAACTGGCCGTAGTTGTTCAATGTCCCGGCGTTCCATGTCCCGAGGGTTATAAGCTTACTTAATTACAAACATGTGTGTTTAATAATTCCATCAAATCAAATAAAATAAAAAAAAAGAACTCTTTTCCAATGCAAGGCTCTTTCAATTTTTCATGTGAACTTTGAATATACGAACTCACGAAAAAGGCATTTCAACAGAATCCCTTTATTTATTCCTTTTTGCAGTTTTACTTTTTATTTTGCTCGGGTAATAAATATACCCATGTTAAATGTTCGTAATCCATATCTAGTTATCATGGGATGCCATTTGACAGAGTTACACATAATATTAATTCAGATTTGTCCTTCTCTTAGACTGGTGCCAACCAAGACTGAAGAACACAGTTTATGGC